GATGCAGACCTGAATCTATGCAGAGAGGTCCTCACAGAGCTCCTAAACACACACAGCTCCAGAGGTGCGTTTTATTTACCAGGACCATCACAGTGCATAGCCAGAGGCAGCTGTAGAGTCACAGATCCACACACAGTACATAAGCAGAGACACATGCTCACAGGCAGCCTATAAAATCCATTTTCCCTTCATTTACACTGCTGGTTTTAACCTTATTTTAATACAGTTTTGCAAACCTTCCTCTGGTAGCAAGGTTTGAACCTGACACCTTCAGGATCAGAGCCCAGACCTGCTTTACTCGAGCTAAAGAGCCACTCTTCTGTGCACAGCTCTGGCTGCCTCTTCCCTGCTGCTGGACCAGACCCTTGCAGAGAAAAGCAAGATCCATTTTGCAAGTGCATCACTCCGTGATAAGGAACATCTTTGCCCCAGGGTGCTTACCCCTGACGTGCCTGGCCTCTGGAAACACAAGTTTCAGTGCTAAATAGCTTTCCCCAGGTGGCTTTAAACACGTTTACTGTTGTATCAGATTAAAATACACTTGCTTCAGCAAAGTGTGTTCTCACAGCTGGGTAAGTAAATGCAGGGTTTGCCCGTATTTCACAGTAGTGACTCTAGGCATCCCACATGAGTGAATGGGCACGGCATCAGGTTCCCATTAAACTATCTATCAAGGGATGAGTTTTACCCAAGAAAACTGCTCCAGAAGCAATTTCACCATAGAAAGGTGATCTTTCTGCAGCAACATTCCCCCAGTGACTAAACCCCTCTATTGCAGTACGAATTCACCCCTCTTTCTGCCTGCAGCAAGAGCACTCACGTACTTGTGGGTTTACCATTTAGCCGTGTTTCCGAAGCGCCGGGAGGGCGCTCAGCGCGGTACGAGATGTACTCCCTGCATCACAGAGTTTAAAAAGAACAGTTCACACAAAGGGCAAAACACTAAATATGCTCAGAACTACGGCAAGATTCGAGCTGACACAGGGTGGTTGGAAACAGGCACCAGCGAAAGGTCTCTTCTGCTTTTGCTGTCCTTTTTTGTGCTCTCGCTTCAGCTTTTTTAACCTGCACTAGGAAAGCACTAGAGCATCTTGCCGGGGTGAAGCAGCGCATGAGGAAGGGTTTGGGGAGGGTACACAAACTGTGCTGAGACCAACAGGGATTGCTGTGCACACAGTCCTGTGCTGGGTAAAAACTGCGACGCTGCTGCACAGCATCCATTGTATCCTATGCTTACGCTATGGGGCAGTGAAGCTTTTAGCGCATGGATACACTGAGGCAAGAAACCCCAATTTATGTCATAAAGTCACAGCACAGTAGAACTCAAACCGAGGGGGTTGCTCCTGGATGTGCTCTGATCCTGGTGTAAATTCCCTCCTGTGCTGATGCAGCATCCTTTAAATCAGCAAGCAGCACAAGCCACAGGCTCCAGTCACACTCCACCAGCTCTGCATGTTCAGACTGATCATTTAGTCTTTAAATCTCCCTGTGGACTCAAGCTCCCATCTCTGTACCATCCCCTGCTTGGCACGACCTACCAGGACTGGCTGGCAGCCTCTGTCCACAGCCAGATCCACAGGGAGTAGGACCTGGCTCAGGCCGACACTGGAATGAGTCGGTAACACAGTTCAGACCAAACCGAGTGACAACGTGAGCGTGCAGAGAAGCACACAGCACACTTTGTGATGGCGAGAGCTGCAGCTGGTACCCAAGGATGCTGGAGGATGGAGCTGAGCTGCCTGCAGCAAGGACCCTGGGCAAGAGCAGTCAGGGGAGAGCTCGCTCCACCACAGGAGCTCGTACTGAGCTCATGGGAGCAGCATTTGGCTCCCTGTTTCCCAAAGATCCTGGAACCTGTTGGTCTCCAACAAGCAGCTCCGCTCCCATGGGCAGAGGGACGGGGTAGCAGGGGGGCTGGCTGTGCCCAGTGCAGTGACCCCGTGGGAGCCCGCCATGGGGTCCCCTCCATGGGGTCCCCTCCATTGGCAGCCAAGTACTTTGCACTTCAGTGGGGCTTGTCCGCAGTCTCTCTCAGCTGTACCCCAGAGCACCCCCTGCACCTCCAGGGCAGAGCAGGGATGTATCCATTTACTCAAGGCACATCTCCACAGTGGTAACTGCTGTCCCTATGTTACAGGCGTTTTCACTGTCTACAGCTTATTCCTGTGTACTAAGTCACTCTCAGAGCATCGCTGCACAACAGCTGAGGACTGGCAGGGAAGAGAGCTATCAGATGGAGGGAGCTACGGGGGAGGATTTCAGATAGGCACAACAAAAGGATGCTGCATCTTGCTCGATCTCAGGGCCCACAGCCAAGAGATCAGTTCTATTCCTGGCACCGCCACGGGCCAAACTGCAGGCAAAGCTCACCCTTGCATCCCCCTGACGCAGCGAGACCAAAACCTTCCTTATCCCAACACCTGATTGTTCTGACATACTTCGCTCCCGGATTACCCGCCGGCAGCAGCCTGCAGTGCTCCTTTGTGGATGTACAGAAACGTATGGCTTACTGGAGGAATGCTGCAGCTCTATTTCTCTTGTTGACTTTAACTAGGAGAATCATCTATTGCATAACCCGAAGCACAGAGAGTCGAGGAGCAGCCGCTTTATACACGGCAGCACTTTCCACATTCAGCCCAAGATGGTTTTAAGAGAAACAATCACTCCGTAAAACAAAACTCTGACATATTCTGATTTAAACTGCTCAGTAACATTTTTATATTCACAGATTTTTTCCACTTTCAGGTGCAGTTCAAGGCTAATGATACCTGGTTCGCTTCTTCCCTCTCCACAGCATCCCCAGAACATATTGTTCTCCATTAATACATGAAATAACAGAAAAAACCAAACTACCTCAGAGGGTCTAACAGCAAGCAGAGCTGGGCAGAGGCAGCCCTGGCTCCCAGCTTTGGCAGCACTAGAGTGCTTCTGTCTGCCTGCTCACAGACGACGTGAACTTCATTGGGATACTCGACAAGCCAAGCTGATTCAGCCATTAGCTAATAGGAGGAGGTAACAAACTGAGAGGAGCCATTGACTTCACATGAGGATGATGACAAATAGGGCCAATTCTACTCCAGCTTTGGTTGCCAAGGCTGTGCTGTCCAGCACGGGCACCAGGACTCGTGCTGGTATCATACCCTGTCTCAAAGCTGTATCACTGCTCATCTCCACACCGCCTCACTTTTTATTTGCACATCTTCATGAGGACGGACTTGCTGGATCTGAACATAGGACTTCACCAACCGACTTGCTTAACACAAGTCTTCAATGTAAAATGGACAAAGCACGACTGGCAGATAATGAAGTAAACCTCCAGACACTGGTGGAAAAGGTCTCTGGGCACCGTAACTGTTACATCAGTTAACTCTTACTGCAAACGGATTTGTTTCCCTTGCTGCAGCAGGTTTATACCCAGGCATTTGAGAAGTATTAGTACCCATCGAGCCCAAGCGGAGTCCTCAGTGCTGTCTAGACATAAGAATGGGCCCAGTCACGCAGAGCAGAGACAACAGTAATAGCTGATAACGCACGTGGTGCAGGCAGCCAGCCCAGCATGACTTGCCCAGGGTGCTGGGCAAGAGGCTGACACCTAAGCCAAGAGACAAAGGTTTGAGATGTTAAAGGCAGATGATGATGTGATCACAACCTGAAAATGAGGTCCTGAGCAGGCTGCAGGGATAAAGACAAACCCGTCAGAGCAGAGCAGGCAGAACAAGAGCAGTACAGTCAGAACAGGTTCAGTTTGGTACCGAAGTACAAATTGACAAAGCAATGCAGTGAGTTATTTGCAATAAGCAGCTGCATTGGATGCAGTGCAGAAGGACGGTACCAGCAGTGGTAAGAGGCCTTTAGGACAAGCAGGAGTAAAGCAAAGTCATTGTAAATTGACAATGAAGTCACAAGCAGAGTGGGATGCAAAAGGAAGGTGTTCAGCTGTTCACACTGGCAAAACAGTGCTGGAAGCACCACCGCAAGCAAAGAGATGGCAGCAGCCCAGCAAAAGCAGAGAGGTGCCGGTGTGCTCTGGGTGCCACTCACACCCCGGAGTGAGACATGGGCAGAGAGGGGCAGGAGAAACGAAAGCAAGATGCCACGGAAAGCCTTGGGCAGAGATTGATGGGCTCCTGTGCTGCCCCAGGGCTCTGCACAGGGCTCCTCGGAAGGAGGGAAGAAAAGCGATGTTGTGAAATCAGGCTGGGTTGGTGGATCACTACCTACAGAAACCTTAAGTAAAGCCCTCGATGAAGATGTTCCAGTGCACAAACAACTTACATGTCACCAGTAACACTAAAAAACATGGGCTTTTGCTCTTTGCTCCTCAGCCCTGGGCTGTGAGCTCCCCACCAACGTCTTCTGAAGTTACAGCAGGAGACAACCTCTCTGGAACAACAAGCTGAGAGCAGGAGTGTACAGAACATGAACTGCTTCACAATAGGGAAATGCCCCTTTGCTCTCAGAGTCACCTCTGACGTGCCAGCGTGTCTCCCTGGCTCTACAGGCTGACGATGAACAACCTCAGGCAGTTCTTAGGGCAAGTCAAACAAACACATGAAAGTACATTAAGATCCTTTACCGGTGAACAAAAATCACTGCAAGTCCCTCCTTTTCTCAAACTGGGACAATCAGTTGCTGTCCTCTCAGTTACTTAAATAGGCTTTTTACTACTTTTTGGCTTATGCAGGACAGGAGTGTCTGGGTTTTACACATAAGGAGCTTTCACAGCAACTTATCACACGAACCACCTCCTCAGCAGCACCTCACGCCCCTCTGTGCACCATCCCCATTCAGCGACCCCATCAGCCATCCCCACCAGGCTCCACTGCTCCTCATCAACAGGTGAGGCAGCTCTTGCACCCCAAACTTCACATGGAACATGTGTAAAGGTAACAACCCCCCAGGCCTTGCGAACATCCCCCTCCCCTTGCAGGGTCCTCCTGCCTTCCTCCAGCTGGCAGCAGCCGCAGCGCAGCTCGAGCCCAAGGACCAGTGTACTGTACCTGGCTCGGAGATGATCAGGCTCTGGTCGGAAGGCAGCAGGAGGAATTCCCTGCAAGTGTCCAGGTCCAAGCTAGGCAGGCTTTTCTTCTGGCACAGCTCGGTGACAATGCGGATCGCCTTCTGACAGCGGCTGTCATCCTTGGTGCCACTCATCTCCCCACCGCATCCTCCGCTCTCTCCCTCTGCTGTCCAAGAAAGTCGAACTAGGTGAAGAGGGGTTTATTTGTACTGACACACACGATTCACACCGGCTCCAGCCTCTGGCTTGGCAGCACCCTGAGGGACACCCAGTGCCAGGCAGCGCTCCAGCTCCACCAGCCTCCTCAGCATTCAGCCCAGGGATGTCTGCTCAGCCTCCACACACCACCGCTCACTGCGGTCCTGCCAGTGCTCCTGATGCCTTATTGCCTCTGAGATCAGATCTGGTTACTGCCAAGGCGTGTTCCAGGCAGAGAACCTCCTACCACATCCACTCGGTGCCCTCCGAACTACGGTGTTAAAGCTGCAGCCCAGACAAATCTAGTTTAACCCTTTCGCTGCTGCCCCGTGTCTGTTCCTCAGGTGCAGTCTCACAGCCCAGCCCCGGAGCAGTTTTGCAAGCACGGTGAAAGCTGCAGTCTCCCGGTTGAGCACAGCACATCATCAGACAAGAGAGACAAGATGCTCCCACCAACACTGCGCAAACTACTTACAACTGCCAAAGGCAACAGAAGAAAAGCAGCAGGTTTTATCGACTTGTTTGTACTGGTCCTAACACAAGAGGCTACAGATGCAGCAGAGATTGAGAACACCATCGAATTTCGTAATTACACACCTTTTAGTGTCATTTCCTGCAGTATTTGTTAATTCCTGTTGCAATTTAGCAGACTGGTCATGGCACACGACAGAGCTGTGGTTCGGAACAGAGGATCTGGATGACAGGCATGGGAGAAGCAGCAATTGTGTAACAGGCAATTAAAGCCATGTACAGCACAATGACTTCTTGCAGCTCTTGGAGCACAGAAGCCAGCACAGATACAATGAGCAGACTGGAGAGCCAGGGCTAAAGCTCCACAGGTCCCTCGTCCCCTCATTCCAACTGAGCGTGTTCGGATTCGCACCACTGTGGTTGCTTTGGCTTCATTACTTGCTGAAGCACTTGGAGCTACTCCACGGGTCCCAGGAGCGACACAAGCACCCAGAGCAGCACAAGGCTCCCCTGGAGCACAGGTCCTCTCACAACCCTCCAGCGCAGCCACACAGGCTCCTGCGAGGAGCAAACCCCGCAGGGGCTCTGGGTGTGAATTCCCAGACTGGGAACTCCAGGATCCGTCCCCAAGTGACTCTCGTGCTGCACCTCCTGCTCACCTGGCCGGAGTAACAGCACATCAGTTCGTGCACAGACTGAATGGAGAACAAGAGACTACACAGGTAAAGTTACAATCACCTTGTGCTGGGGCTGTTTATTCCCTATTAAAGTCCTTCTCAGGGTGCCTGCATCCCGAACATCTGATTTCTCTATTAGTGCTCTGCTGCCCACTGCTTGGAAGCAGCACTGATGGCAGCAGCTCCAGAAGCAGATTAGCATATGCAGAAGTGATTAGAGGCAGATTAGCAAAATAGCTCCCAACCTTCCAGTACAACATTACCCTCCTCTGGGAAAATACCGATTCACCGAGGCCAGGAGGCTGCTGCAGGGCAGAAAACAAGCACCAGCAGCTGATTTGCGGTGCTGGGGATGACTGTGCCGCAAGCGCGGGTGCAAACCACACTGAACTTTACAGCACTGCAAATCCAGCCTTCCTAGAGCTTCTGTAGCCCCATGAAACACCATATATCCTAAAGCCTTTAATTAAAGGTACAGGAAACACCTACAGGGCACCAGACCATCCCAAATGAAGCTTCTATCTAGTTTCTAGCCAAGTGCTGAAGGGTCCCCAAGTAGTAGTAATCACGTTTACATGATTTCACCCAATTTACTTGGTCAAAGCAGGTAAACAAGTAGCTGTGGTTGCACAAACCATGTCCCAGCAGCTCTGTGAGGGTCCTTTACACCAGGATTTAGTGCTAAACTCCTATACTGAGTGACCACCTACAGTTCATAAGCAGCTGAGAGTCCCAGGCTTGGGAACCAGCTTCAACATAGGAGCTAATGACCTGGTCATGGCCAGAAAGAGGAGATGACCAGTACCAGCACCTTCTAAAACCCAAGTGCAGTGAGACCCGAGGGGATGCAAGTGAGCATCACTACATCTCCCCAGCACAGAAACAGTTTTTGCCTGAGCCATCGAAACTGGCACAAAAAGAAGAATTCCTGAAATACACCAGTCAAGTGTCACATCTGGAATCTGAATTTACCTTAAAGAGATTTTGACAGACAAAAAATCCCTGAACCAAAGCCTTAGAAAAAGGTTAATGCCTAATTGAGGGCTTGAAACACAGAAATCAATAATAAAATCCAATTAGTTGGGGGAAAAGCTGATTTCATTTCAAAGGTAATACCGAGAACCTTTTACTTTTAAATCTAAAGTCACCTTGGGTCAATTACTCACCTTCGTTTCACATCCGAGGGCTCCAGGCTTGCTGGGCAGCAATAGCAGAGGTGCCAGCGTTAGCGTCCACGCTCACACCGAACATTCGTTTCCTCGGAACACAAACCCTGACTTTCTCTCGCACTTTCTAACTGAGGTTGTGTCACCTGCACTGTTCCTTGTCCCACACGGGAGGGTGGAACCAGCCAGGGGGCAGCTGCCAGCTCTGAAGCTCCAAACCCTGCTTTTCCCAAGCAGTGCAATGCTGACTTCTCCGCTGCACACGTACGTGTAGCTACTGAGAGACAAGATTCCGCCTCCCACCTCCCACTGGGAAGCTCCCACTTTGCCACATGGAGCCGCAGAGGGAAAGCTCCAGAGGAGCCAGGCCCCTGCCCTCCATCTCTGCAGCTCCCACCACCCTCCAGCCGTGTCCCCCCGGCCCGACCACACTGCAACGGATGCGGAGCCCAGCTCCAGGCTGCTGCAGAGCATCCTCTTTGCAGCCTGCCTTCGACTCCGCTCTGCTCCTTCCAGTCTGAACAGCAGAGCCAAGTGCCTCCGACCCCGGGCAGAGCTGGCGATCTCCGACAGGGTCCGGCAGCTTTGTCTCACCCAGATCCACCCTGGCGCCTCGAGCTTCCCGTGTCTGGCAAGTGTTTGCCTGCAGCTGCAGTCACGAGGCGTTTCGGGATCCTCTCACGTCGGAACATTTGTGTTCTCCTGCGCCGTGGCCCGATGGTACATTTAGAGAGGCAGAACTAACAGCTAAATAGATCAAGCTGCGCCTGTAGCTAGTCCAGGAAAGCTTAGAGTTGGATAAATGTCGGGGGGAAATGGCTCCACAAAGTTGGGTTACACAGAGAAATAAATACATTATATGCAACAACAGAGCTCTTGAGTTACCTTTGAAATAGTCACTTCAGACAAGACCACAGAATGAATCCAAAGACTGGCTTTGGTTTGCAGGAGTCAGAGGCTGCACCCACTGCTCATGACTGAGACTGAAATCGGTGTCATCGTCATCATCTGAGCGTGAGCAGATGGAGAAAGGACGGACATTTCCCTTCAGTAAAGCAGAAGACAAGCACCAAAGACAATACAACCACAAACATCTGAGGAACTGGGAAGGTTTGTAGCACACTGCAGTTGGTTTCATTCATAGAATCACAGGCTGCTTTGGGTTGGAAAGGACCTTAAGATCATCCCGTTCCAACCCCCTGCCATAGGCAGGGACACCTCACACTAGACCATGTCACCCAAGACTCCATCCAACCTGGCCTGGATTAATAAGAGTGTGTTCAATATGTGCCTCATTGTGGGCTATTTATGTCTGGAGTCTGAAAATGCAGACTTTGTACCCATGTTTTTCTGTTCAGTATATACCTGCTCACATCTACGACAATGTGGCTACTAAGGTGGAACCATAAATAAATTGTTCGGCTGGGATAGAATATGCTCTTCAACTTTGATGAGGATCTATTTGAAGCTGATGATTTATTCTTTTTTAAATAATAATCAAGTCTGGAGAGGGAGCAGCAGCATCTATTTATGCCAGTTCTAACTGATGGTCTGATACTGTTTACTCTCCCAGTTAATACGATAATTGGAAACAGCTCAGAAATGATTCAGAGCTTCTTGCCAGGAAAACTGAGGTTGATCTGAATCCTTTGGCAACATCAATGTGCCATCTGTGCATCAACGTACATGCACTGCCGTGCACCTTCACACGCCGCTTTGATGTGTGGATCTGTGGCTACTGACGCTGTGAGCAGCGAGCAAAACCAACATCCTCCCCTCATCTCTGTGTGCACAGAGAGGGGGACATTGCCCTGCTCACCAGAATAGGGACAGAGCTTTAAGAACTGGTTTAAAACCAATGGTAAGAGCAAGAATTGAGCTCAAACTAACTTTAGACAAAGACTTTCAGACAAGCTCTGCCCTATTAAATCCGTACCTGGCTGTGCAGCAGAGGGGCCGGGCAGCAGCCTCCTGCACTGCCCCTGGAGCAGCCGGAGCTCTGGAGCTCTGCTGTGACCGTGCAGCAGGGAAAAGCAGCACCTCCCTTGGCGGAGGAGCTCGGGCAGAGCCGTTGTCCCCAAGGAGCACTGATTCACACCTTCGTGCACAAAAAGCGCAGATCGTTCCTCTGCTCATCTCCAGCACAAGCAGTCGCCATTGCAAAGGTCTCCAAGACCCCGGTTCCTCACACTCCTCACACTTAGCAACAAACCTTGCCCAGGGTTCACTTATTGCACAAAGCAATGGTAGAAACAGGTAAGAAGTGCTGCTTCCCCACTGGTGTGGACGCAGCCTCTCCCGGCTGCTCATTCCCTCTAGAAGCCTTCTAGGGAGCAATTACTCGGTTCTGGACATACTTCTCCTTCACCAACCCGGCAACACAAGGAGGAAGGCAAAAACAATCCTGCATTTGTGATGGTCCCGGCCTGCGCAGGCAGCAGCACCAGAGGTGGGAAGTTTAGAGGTAATTCATTCACTTCCTCAGCACACGATGAGCCTGCAGAGCACAAAGGCCACCGCGGCAAGGGGTGAGCAGTAGCTGCTGCTGGCTCCTATCCTGAGCTGTCTGCAGGGTATCGCTGTGTTGTGTTGGCTCCATTGCTTTCATGGCAAGAAAGGTGG